GTAATTAGAATAATTGTGACATGCCATTTATAGGAGGAGTGCAACCTATCTTGCATAGACCTAATAGAATTCTAGTACGTAATAATAAACTAGGATAATTCAAATTAATCAATCTTTTCTTTATGAAAAATGCTATTTACCCCTCATAAAATTTTCTTAATATTTTTTCTTATAATGTGACTTATATTTATTAGATGTCATGAATTGGATGACTCTACACACTTTTAATTGAATACTAAATAATTCAATTAGATGATGCCATATCGGGAGAGGAAATTGGAAGGGAAGTTTTTAGAAGGGATGCCTAACATTATTCTTCGCAAAATTTAATGTACATATCTTAATTAATATCCCATAATTCAATACTAAATAATCCAATTTGATTCTTGCCATCATTCTTTGAGTTGACCAGAGCCAGTCGTATAGAGCCTTTCTAATATAATTTTTGAAGCCGAGTTTACCCAATACACGAACTCTAAAACATGCTTTCGTTTCGAATAAGCCCCCTGGAAGGGGCTTTCATGGCTCCATATGAATTGAGCTTCATCCACCTTGATTGAGGGGCGATCCAGTTGACCCAAAGCCTTTGTCCATTGTACAATCACTTATGCGCGAACGGCGAACGAACAATCAAGCATTATAAGTTGCACAACAGTTAATTCGCACGACGAGAAGAGTGTTTGTCATTTGGTCCTAATTATATATATATATATATATATATATATATATATATATATATATATATATATATAGGGAAGAGATCAGGTGCGGGGAGAGATTCCCGTGCGATTGTGCAAAGGAACGCACCTTAAGCATTAAACTGTCGCATTTTAAGTACACAACACAGGCACTACATGCATTAAGCACAGAAACAAAACACCTTAAGAACACTAATCTCACGCACATTAAGCGCAAAACTCATGCACCTTAAGCACAAAACTCATGCACCGTAAGTTTCAACAACTATTCACATTAAGAACACTAATCTCACGCACATTAAGCACAAACTCACGCACCTTAAATTCAACACTACTCACATTAAGTATACACCCTCGCATCTTAAGCACAAGCTAGACTCACGCGCCTTAAGTACAAAACTCACGCACATTAATCACCGCACGAGAGACACTCAACCGCACAAGAACTTAATTATATATATATATATATATATATATATATATATATATATATATATATATATATATATATATATATATATATTAGTTACAAGTTAATATTATCTTTTTAGCATACTTTACAGCATTGCTAGCCCAATAGAAGTCCACAGTTCCACACGGTTTCAACGCAGCCTTTCTCATTCAATTTTGTATTACATAAAGTTCTTATATTCAACATGCAACATTAGTACGTTCTTATTCTGAGATTCTTAGCCCATTGTAAAACCCATAATTAGTTGAAAAGTATAACAATAAACAATTACAAAGAATTATTATGGGATAATGCGTCGTCCCCATCGTGAAGCCGAGATACAATCTTGGGACGGGTGGATCCGAATTTAAAAATGCACAATTTATATATTGAATGTTCACAATTTTATATACTAAATGTCTACAATTTACCTATTGAATATTCACAATTTACCTACTGAATATTCATAATTTTATATACTAAATATTCATAATTCAAACTATAAACGTTCAGTATGTAAATTGTGAACGAATATTCAGTATATAAATTGTGTATTTTGGATCCTGATCCACGTTGTAAGGTCGGTCCGGGTCCATGGAATAATTATGAACATATATTTATAAAATTATGTAACTACAGTATAGATTTTATGAATCTACAGTAGAAAAATTATGAATTTACAGTATAAAAATTATGAATCTAGATCCGTGTGTACCATGCATGGTGCACACGGTAATACAGTATAATTTGCCGCCAGACGCCTATCCGAAGCCGTGCGAGTATTATCTATCTCGAGTTATAGAAATGATGGACCGATTAAGGATAAATCAGATTAAACATGATATTAGCAATGTTGATACGGATTAACAGTGTAAAACTTTCCACGTTTACCTAACAAATTAAAGCAAACTCAGCTCCTCCAACATTTTAGATTTGGTGGTGTTTTATACGTCTTCAATTAATCCTCTTGGCCTACATATATGTGTACAATCCAAGTAATATTAGTTAAATGGTACAAATCATTCGTTCATGCTTCAATTCAAACACTTAGAAGACTATAAATTGGATTAACAAATACCGGTAGTTGATCCAACACATTTCAATCAAATTAAAGGCATGTTAGTTGCAAGAAGATTGGATTTCATAGTATTACTTCAAAAATTAATTCATAGTATATTAGTATGATGAACTTATAATTACACCCTGCCCGTATGTAATTTTTGGGCACCAGTATGTAATTGTGACACTAATTATTACACAAATAAACAAATATATACCGTTCAGATGTTGGCATCCCATCCAGAGGTTTTTATTCAATTTTTTAGGACAAAATGCTGACATGAATAAAAGATATGAGGAGATTTAAATTGGATTTTTGTGTAAGATAAAGAAAGGCGGAAAAAAATCTAAAGGTACATGTTCTACACACTCCTACTTGGTGAGGCAGAGTGATTGTCAATCGGTGACAACACCTGATCTAATGATTAAATTACTATTTTTTTTCTCCCCTACCTCTAACTAATGTAAAGCTAGCAAAAAACTTATATTTGGGGTTTACCATTACCATTCATCTTATTGAATAAATAGTGTGGGAGCAACCTCTCTCAAAGTATGAGGACTTCTTGTGGACAGTAAGCAAAAGTACGTCTAGCCTCTATGGTTCAGCTGAGTTACCATTATTTACATCCTACCCGATGTTCTGTCGGGCCGGGGTGTGTGAGACCCTTAGGGTTGAAGATTCAATCTTTTGGGAATGATAAATAGTAGAAAAGTAGGAGTTTATAGGGTGTTGAAAGTTAGGTTGAGGCTATACATACAAAATCTTTCTGCTTCCTATATATCAAGGTTTCCACTTTCGTGGCAATACATATCTCACAAACTTTCTCTAGATTCGGTTTTTCAATTCCTTAGGTTAATAGGACAATTACGTGCTTTGATTGGTTGCCATTTTACCCGTCACATGTTAATATAATGTTTGTGTTTTTTAATTTTTTTTAATATAGAAAATTGCCAAGTGTATATTTACTGTATGTTCGATATTAAAATATTACTGTACAAAGATTTTTATTTTTATTTTGAAAGCATTACTGTACCGAAAATGTAAAAGAAATAGCTTACAACTATATGTCATCACTTCTTTTTGCACTCAAAGATGCGTGGAACCTATTGCACCCAAAGGCCAAAGCTGCTTACCCCTTTTTTTTTTCACCCTAAATGCATGGGACTTTAATAAGTTTTTTGGCAAACTAAGACCTTTTTTTAATATAATTAGCTTATCAGTTAATTTTTATTTATTTAATCATTATTAGCTATTTGACTTGGTTAAACCCCAATATGAGTGTTTGATTATTTAGAATTTTGTAACAGCTTATTGCTCTAAAATGCTAAAATTTAAAAAGTTGATCAAAACAGTTTTTTCTATCAGCTTTTAAAAAAAAGTCATTTTGCATGTAATCAGGCTGACAGTTAATTTACCATACATCTTTTTACAACCAGCTAATGCTATCAACTAGTCATCTTATTAGAGCAACAATTACTTTATTGGTGATGCCCTAATAATGGTATTATTGTATTTATCACTTTTTAAAGATTATAACAATAATGTTGTAATTACAGTTTAAAATTATTCATTTTAGATATTTATAACGATAGAGTTAATATTATTTTCACTAAAACTCGAAGCCACAACTTTTCATATGAGAACGCAATTGGGTGCCACTAAATCACAAGGTCATTGGAATATTAGCTATCAATCAATATGTCTCATGGTTAAAAAATAAATTTGAAATTAAAAAAAAAAAAATTTAAAAAAAAAGAGTAGATCAATTTCATCAACATTTTGAAATTTCAAATTTTATAATATTTAATGAATTGACCAATCTTTTTTTCTTTAATTTCTAACAATTGGATCATGACGACTCAATTATATACGTAGTATTTGAATAGTCAACATTCCTAAGCGATACTTTCGACGGTTTCAGCTCAGCCATATCCATCTCGATTTTGTCCATCTAATATTCTTCTAAGTCAACGCCCATGCAACTGGCAACTTAAATAATGTTCTTATTCTGAGATTTTTATCCAATTGGAAAAATAAAATTAAAAACCATAAGGGAAAATCTATTTTTAGTCCTCAATTGTTCTTTTATATTTGTTTTAGTCTTTATTTTTTATTTGTTATAATATACACCATTAAATCTTCAAAAAAGTTACAATTTTAACCTATAAATAAACAAAATTATTAAATTTTATTAAAATTTTACTTAATACATACATGAGTATTTTAAAATTTTATTATCTTTATTCTTTATTACCTTTTTAATTTTGGTATTTAATTTGAAAAATAAAGAATTAACGACATTTTTCCCTAAAACGTTTCATCTTTAAGTTTGGTACATCATCATCATCCCTATTTTTACTACACGAAACTGTTTAAATAATCGAAGTTTTTTATTTTTTAAATGTAATATCAAGACTAAAAAAATATTATAATTAAAGAAAAAATATTAAAAAGTACTAAATTACTCATGCACTAAATAAATTTTTATAGATTTTAATAGTTTTGTTGTTTCAGGGGTTAAAACTGCAACGTTTTTTAAAGAGTTATGGGTATATATTGCTGCAATAAAAACTTCGATAGCAAGGAACAATTAATAAACTAAAAATGCATTTTTTTTCCTCAAAACATAATTAGTTGAAAAGTAGAACCAATATGAATATGGAAATTAAAAAGAAATGTGGAATTGTAGATGATGCGTCACCATCGCCAAGCCTGCATTCGATCACCCCAATGCTTCCATATAAAGAAACTAAGACGAAGCCTGCAGAAACCACACAACCAAAGCTCTATCTCACATAGTGATCGAAAATGGCAAATCTTCCATTGCTATTCACTTGTTTATTCCTAACCGTGTTTATTTTCACGACTGTTTCCGGCTATTCTCCAGCTGAGATAAAATCTTGGTGTAGCCAGACCCCGTACCCGCAACCATGCGAGTATTACCTGTCTCGGGGCCGCAACAATGGCGGACAGATTAAGGATAAAACGGATTTCCTTAATGTTGCCATGGAAGTGGCGCTTGAGCATGCCATGCATGAGAAAGCTAACACGTACTCGTTAGGCACGAAGTGCCGTAACGAGCAAGAAAAGGCTGCATGGGAGGATTGTTTGGAGCTGTACGAGAATATGGTTGTGAAAATCAACGTTACAGTTGATCCCAATATTAAGTGCTCGGCTGCGGACGCGCAGACATGGCTCAGCACGGCCCTGACCAACATGGAGACATGTTGGGCCGGGTTTGTAGACGTTGGCATCACGGGCAACATCATGCCCATGATGTCACGCAACGTGTCGTATTTGATCAGCAACACTTTAGCCATTAACAAAGGTTACACGGGCAACAACAATGAGCCCACTGGCTACACGGATGGTTTCCCCGCTTGGACTAAGCCCGGTGACCGGAAACTCTTGCAGTCGTCGGCTGCTTCTAAGGCGGATGTTGTGGTGGCGCAAGATGGGTCCGGGGACTATAAGACCGTGACGGAAGCTGTGAATGCGGCGGGGAAGAGAAGTGGGAGTGGGAGATATGTGATATATGTGAAGGCAGGAGTGTACAAGGAAAATGTGAATATTGGTAGCAAATTGAAAAATATCATGATGGTGGGTGATGGAATTGGGAAGACGATTATCACCGGAAGCCAAAGCGTTGGAGGCGGCACCACCACCTTCAATTCCGCCACCGTCGGTAAGTAGTCACTAAGCCATGCATAAGTATAAATGTTTGTTTAATTTTGCACACAAAAGGCAAGGTAAATCAGGGTGATTCAACTGCTCATTAAATAGAAAGATCAGGGTTTGACTGTTTGGACCTCCCAATAAACAAATAAAACTCTTACACTGTAACTGTCAAATCTAGATTAAGGGTTTTGCCAACCATTTAAGTATCTAACACTCACTCGTGTTGAGCATATAGCCATTAATGTGCAATCCAACTATCAGCTACTTTTAGTTGACATGGAGAACATCCTTCAAATTGATATCAGAACCAGACCAAAGGTCATGAGTTGCTTGAAACCCACTGCACACGTAAGGGACAGTTTAAGCTGTTGAGACGGAACTCCAATTATCAGGAACTAAAGATTTGTTTAATTTATTTTAATTACTGATGGAATTTAAATATATATACAGCTGTGAGTGGAGATGGGTTTATTGGACAAGGCATAACATTCAGAAACACCGCCGGAGCGGCAAACCATCAGGCGGTGGCGCTGCGGTCCGGCTCCGATCTCTCAGTGTTCTACCAATGCAGCTTCGAGGGCTACCAAGACACACTCTACGTCTACTCCGACAGGCAATTCTACAGAGAATGCGACATTTACGGCACCGTCGACTTCATCTTCGGAAACGCCGCCGCCGTCTTCCAAAACTGCAACATTTATGCGCGAAACCCACCAAACAAGACCAACACCATCACCGCCCAAGGCCGGACCGACCCAAACCAGAACACCGGAATATCAATCCACAACAGCAAAGTCACGGCGGCGTCCGACCTCAAAGGCTCTCTAGGCTCCGTCAAGACCTACCTGGGACGGCCGTGGCAGCAATATTCCCGCACAGTCTTCATGAAAACCTCCCTCGATAGCTTGATTGATCCGGCGGGATGGTTGCCGTGGGATGGGAATTTCGCGCTAAATACATTATACTACGGCGAGTACTCGAACACCGGGGCGGGGGCGTCCACGGCCAACCGGGTGAAATGGGCCGGTTATCATGTGATCACCAGCGCAACGGAGGCGTCCAAGTTCACCGTCGGCAACTTCATCGCCGGTGGCTCATGGTTACCCGCCACAAACGTGCCATTCACTTCTGGTCTGTAATACCTATTATTAATTAAGTTGATAGAAGCGTGTGATTAAGTGATTTTGAAAGAAAAAAGTAGTATTCATATAAGTCATTGTATAATACACTTTGTATTGCTGTTGATTGTCATTCATTGTACCAAGTAATAAATTAAATATTGAAATTTTCTAATTTCAGAAAACATTATAGAAATGTTAAATAACCCATTAAATTACTTCCTGCAATTAAAATCTGGTCAAATATACTTTCTCGATCTATTAAATTAAAACATAAAGAGTCAATATCGTCCCACTTGGACGAGACATGAATCCATGACCTCCCATTTGAGAGAGTTACTCCATGCAACTTTTAATTAGGCGTCACATTACTTACGTGGATTATTATGTGACAAATTTTTTTTTTTTTAATTATTGCAAATTTCCACTTTTAGTTAGAAAATTCGTTGTACATGTCACCAATCTTGCCGTAGAAGTCAACGAAAACGCATTCTGAGAGGCGAAGCTTTGTCTCTAGTTGCATGAGACAAAGCTGTCTGATATCCGAGAATGCTTCGTCTCCGGCGGCGACGAATTGAAGTGAACGTCGTCGAAGTCTCCGGTTGGCTGGTCGTCTGAGAAAACATTCCTATGTCGTGACAGACAAATCAACGCCGTCACTTCAATACGTTGGACCAGCTTGAAGATGACATCACGACGTCCAAGTCCAAGTCCACCCGCCATGTATATATATGACATCTCCATCCGCTTTGAGTAAAACGCACGCCGGGCTCTTGGCCAAATTATTGTGTGGATCATGATTCACACAGTGGTGTGGACGATAACAGAAAGTATATTTTTAATATATTAAATGTATATTATTTGTGTACTGAATGATTATACAATATAATGTTCATTCAGTACACAAATAATTTACATTCACTAAATATAACGTACATTTTTAATATACAAAAGTATATTATTTTTGTACTGAATGTACATTATTTTATTGTATACAAAATATGATCCACACAATAATGATTGAGCCTCTCAAAAATGGGCTTCCGATTTGTAAACTTTGCGGAAACACAAAGCCTAAATTGAGTGGAATGGTACTAATGGGCCTGGACCGAAGGTGGCTTCCTGCTGGTTATATGCTTTAATCATACCTTTGTGACAATTGACAAATAGCTTTCCTCAACGGTCCATGCCAATAAATGGGTAGTAAATACAAATTTTTTTTTTTTAAAGCTAATAAACGATGTCGTTTTAGTAAATGGTTAGGAATAGTGACAATGACAAACACATTTCTGCCGATGACTTAATATATCAAATTTTTGGTCACAAGTCAAAATATTGACGGATAAAGAATAGTGATAATGAATTTTTCAGATCGACAAATTGGTTCGGTAAATGAGGATGAAGGGTCTTATGTGTGTCCTTGGTTGGCTTATGGTCCTGGTCCTTGTCCGTGGGTTGTGCTTGTCCTAGGTTTGGTCAACCCGGAATCTCAAAGAGGCGTTTTGCCTATCTTTGGAAAGTGTGGTATGTGTAATTTGTTAACATATTTTGGGAAAGGGTACAGTTTTGATATGATCAGAACCTAATCAATTTGTGATCAATTATTAGCAGATTTTTAGGAATTCAGCTTCTTAAATTAGTCAAGAGCATTAAATTTCTAACTTTTATAAATACATTGAAAAAGGATCTTAAGTGATTTGCATTTTGCAATCTCAAATACCCAAGAGAATTGTTGTTTTGTTGTGTTTCTTTTTGTATACTCAAGATTCCAGTGACTAATTCTTCGCTGAACTGTAGGCACCTCTTTTGGGTGGGACAGCTGACTTGGAAATTTAAGGTTGCTTCATTCCAAAGCAAGGAATTTGAACCCTTGACCTTAACCTTCCACTCAACCACACCCTCCAAGTTGTTGTTTTGTTGTTAATCACTCTTATATCCAAGTTTACTCTAATTCATATGCAATTTTATGTTGGCCGACTATTAACTTCTAAAGTTATAAATTCAACATGTCCATAACGATCATTTTTAACCGCAAATCTTAAAGTTTAGCTCACTTTTGAATGTTCGGAAAAAAGTACGATAACAATGAGAAAGCAAATAGATCACGACATTGAAAAACGAAACCTCGAAAAGTGGTACAACCTTGGTCCTCCAGTTGCCCAACGCCGGGACCAATGTTTGATAGCTTTTGCGTTTGTCCACTGGTCCCTAGCTAATTGTCATATATGTGTAGGCATCGAACTATATGAAGCAAGTTGGGCATTTGGGTTTTGTAGCTTATCCTGGGAATTGTGTTTTGATATGATGAGACATCTTCACCAATCATACAATTGATTCTAACAAGTGATAGCAGATAGCCTCTTCGATGAAGACAATTTTGGAGAGATTTAGGTGACATTTAATGCCAGATCGCAATCCAATTTTCTTGATCTCCATTGCAATTCCCCCAAATCCTTGCCGCACATTGCGTTTATAATGTTTAAGGTCGTGTATCCCACTATCCATCCAATCCCCAATTTTTTGTTGGGTGACAGATAAAAACCCGCGCTATACTCATATATCATATAAACTTTACTAGGAAGATCTTACATGACGAACTGAATTAAAAAAGTGTTAAATTGTTATATCATGGACCAGAATCCATATTGTATTGTAAATTCTGATACAAAAATTATATATGTACATTCAGTTAACATATTATGTACCTGCAATTAACAATTGATGTACATGTGAACAAATGATTTGATAATTGACACATAATATGATAGCTGTATGTATAAAAACTATCAACTGCAGGTATAGAATATGTGAACTATAAATACAGAAGGTTATTTTTAGACCAGGGTCTACAATGCAATGTAGACCCTGGTCAATAGTATAATTTGCCACAATAATTTACTCTTGACCTTTAAATATAATAATTATTTTCCAAATTCACTTAGTCACTCCTTTCTGGATAAATTAATGATATGATCGAAGTGACATCTAATCCTATAAATTTTGTTTTATGTGATGTAATTTTACCTAATTAATTTGTGATGTTGTGAGTTTCTCTTTTCTTTTTGTGACTGGGGGGCATGGGGAATAGATGGTAGCCAGCAAAGGAGACTGAGTTTCATTAGGAACATTATTAAAAAAAAAAAAAACAAAAACAAAATTAAAAAACAAAACAAAACAAAACAAAACAAAACAAGATGTCTTAGTTCTGTGGTGTCAAAATGAATTCTCATTCAATTTGCACCAAAATTTATTTTCTCTATAAATATGTTAAATAAAACACCATTTTTTTTTAATCTTCTCAAAGTATTAAAACAGTACCCAACCATATACCATGCATAACTCCACAAAAACTATCTCAAAAATAAAAATTTGACTCCAATTTGCTCCTTGTGAAGGGAACGCCCACGAGGGCTCACACTCCCCTCAGTTACGTTAGCACCTGGCTCACGGACTTAGCTCACTAGTTCAGTAGACAGTATTTGAGGAAGATACTAAGATTCAAACCTCAACAACAACAGTATAGGGATTATGTCTAAAGTGGACTGGGCAAATCCCTTGTGAATACCAGCATTTAACATGTATGCTGATCTATTGAATTACCGTGATTTACATGCTCTCAAATACTCTGTCAAACTAGAGTATGAGAGGTCTTTGGTCCTTAGGGTTGAGAATTCAACCTTTTAAGAGAAGAAGGTTGGCACTTGTCATACCTCAAATATTACAATATTCTCCACTAAAACTTTTCAGTATTTAGGAAAATGACACCAATGGCTATGAGCAACTTTGGCATAAACTATCTGACAATTTTTATGAACCAAAAAAAAAAAAAAAAAAAAAAAAAAAAAAAAAAAAACCTCCATATTTTTCTCTTTTTATTCGTTTTTTTTTTTTTAATAGAAAGATAACGTCAATATACATAGGTTGCTTTCCCTTATCTTCTTCATTTATATATATTTTTTGAAATCTTATTTCTTAATATTAATCATTTTATAGTAAAATATTTGTTTCATTCATAAATGTAAAAAATACTTCCTTAGAGCATTCCCAATAAAAAAAAATCTTGAGTTTTTCATGATGCAGAGAATAAAGGAAAATGGAGACATAGGAAGTTTTACTGCAAAATTGAGCTTTTGAGGGCAATATTTGAGAAGGAGCAAAAAGAAAATCATGTGAAGTATAATTAGTGCACTTAGTAAGCACGTCACGCTGGTCGCCATCGTTATTTTTCTTTATTGTATTCTTTTTCTAATTTATTGATACACTTTATTTATTTGGTACCAAAATTTTTTTTCAAAGTTCAACGGATGATATTACTCTTAGAAAGGATTAAAACAAAACAAAAAGGGTTATGATTTTTTAAAGGATTTAAAAAGTTTTTAATGGGAATAATGGCTCACGACAATGTAATCGAATTCCTAAACAAACAAAAAACAAAAAAGTATTTAACGGGAATAATGGCTCACGACAATGTTTATTGAATACCATAAAATAAAATTAAAAAATTATTTTTAAATACAGTAATCCACACGTAGAAAAACATCGCACCCACGTCTCTACATTCTACATTCAATAGTATTTTTAACATATTTTCTAAAAGTATAAATGTTATATATTAATTAAAAATTAAATTATAAATAATTTGGCATTCAAAAAAAATTGTAATTAATTTGAATTATGTGTCATTAATTATATTATACACATAGAATTAAATTTTTGTGGTCTTTCGTGACCTGTTGATGGTTATATATATATAGAACAAACATATCTTTGTCCTGCCGTTCCATCAGAGAGAGCCGTTAGGACACGCATATTGCATACCTATATATGACACTTCATATTCATGCAAATTATATACGTGTGTGTATAATATTGTTGTGAATTTATTAAAAAATTTAAAAGATAATTTTTTATGTAAATGATTCTAACTTAATGTCAAATTTATAATTGAATTTTTTTATCTGACCATAAATTTTTGCTATAAAGATACACGAATAAGCTGGACGAGACCCACACACTACGGACACACTTTTAATAATTAAAAAGTTAAGTATAATTCATTTTAAAACTTGAGAATTAAAAACTTTGAAAATTCCCCATAGTTGAAGAATCGGAATTGAAATTGATCTTTTTTGCTCGAGTTTTTTTTCACTTGATTTAGTCTCCAACTATTAATTTTTTCACATTTAATAATCCGAGATTAAATGTAAAAATAATTTTATAGTCGTAAGATCAAAAGTGAAAAAATAACATTAAATTAAAAAAAGGTGGAGAATTCTTATATATATTCTTATGTACTATACATCACTAATAAAGTAATAATTTATCATTACAATACTGATGGATATCATTCAAGGAAAAAAAAATATAAACTAAAAATAAACACCCAAAAAATGGAATGTCATTAATTAATTAAGGTTTTGTCGTCGTCGTCGTCATCATCAAACACTTCACCGGCGCCGGGAAACCATTCTGCCGGAGCCGCAACTCTCCCTGATGATCCGGGTCTGAACGCGCTCAAACTCCGAGATCCGGCAAGGGAGGGTGATGCCGCCGGGGTGGTTGAACCCGAATTCCTTCTCCGCTTCACGGAGAAGCTCGCCGAACAAAGGGTGGTTGAAGTAAATCACCGGCACTAAAACCCGGGTGAAGTCTTCGCCTTTCTCGCCGCCGACGTACACCGCCAGATGCCCTTTCGGCACCGCCGCCGCCCGCTCACTCACCGCCTCTTTCCCCGCCGGCAAGTAACCCGAAAACTGCGCCTTGGAGCAAATCGCCTTGGCCTTCGTCCCCAACCGCCGCGTCCAGCTCACGACCGAGTGGATAATCTTCCCCTGAAACCGCGGCGCCGCGTCCAGCCGCTGGTAGTTCCCCGAACAACGGTGGCGCCGGAACATACACCGGAAAAGCGTCGTCACCCGATGCTTCACCGAAAACCCCCGCCCCAGCCGCCGCATATTCGCAGGAAACCCAGAAACAACACACTCCCAATCCCCCAATCCCCCAAAAACCAAGAATCACAGTTAAACCAAACAAACCTTCCTTAAAAAACTCGAAACACGACGAAAACGCGAAATCCCCAGTATTTTTTTTCCTATTTTTTTACGAAAAAGGCCAAGGATCCGCCAAGCACATGGCTAACCTAAACAGAGTAAGGCAAACCTCGGACAGAGAATTAGGTATATTGGACATGACGATTCCTCCTTCTGCAATCACAACATGAGCGTTTCATTCCCAATGCTAAACTTTCTACTTCTGTACGAGGTCTCAGGCCAGGCTCTCCTTATCTTTCCCAACCAGACAACAAAACGAGAACGACAAACAACAAAAGATACCAGAACCCAGAAGAAAAAACAGAACCCGAAAGCTAAAGTTTCATAGAGACGTTAAAGAACAAAACTTCTCAGAGGTGGGTGGCTGATATCGATCGCCACAATGAGAAAAATCAGTGAGTGTTTATGACTTTTATATAACGAGGCTGCCGTATGTTGGCAAGGGTTTATATAATATAAAAATATGGTAAAATAGGTCCCGGGGTTTGTACTCAAAAAAATAAAAAATAAAAAATAAATAAAAAAATAAAAAAGAGGTTCCGGGATTTAGTGCTTTGTGGTCTGACTTGATTTCACGATTAAAAGCTGTACTGTATTGTGGTGGTCTGAATCTCATTGAAAATCTGAATGGATTCCATCCATCTGACTGTTGATTAAGTAATTACAAAATTACAAAATATGATAATGTTTGTTGAGTTGTTGAGTCACCGTGATTTATATATTCTCAAATGTTTTATAACTCAGGTGGCGGAGATATTGACTCTTTGAACTACAAGAAAGTATAAAACAGATATTGCCATGTAATACACTTAGGGTGTGTTTGGTTGGTAGGTTTTGCCCATAGGAATGGGTATGAAAGTGATTGTTGTCGTTTGGTTGATAAGTTTTTAGAACACTATTATGAGTTTCGAATACCCCATCAATTGAAAAACCCATACCCAAATAAAATAAGGGTTTCATTCCCTTATTCATTCTCAAGCACAACTATTAGTAACCATTCACATTCCACCATACTACCAAATATGTTAAATACTTCCACCAAAACCCATTACCATTACCAAGTATTTGATACCCATTCCAATTCCGATTCCTATGTGCGAACCAAACACACCCTTAATAGTACTAAAAAAAAATTACAAAATTAAGTTTGACTGTGATTTTTCCATGAAAATATAGTAAAATAAAACAGGAAAACACTCCGTTACTCCTTATACTACGGAAGTGTTGGGGATTTGACTTTGATTTCGGCCGTCGGATCTGTTTTTGTGAGGTGATGTGGAAGGTTTTGCTAGGTTAGTTGGCGGTTAGTGGAAGATTTGCCGTCAGATTAGTCATCGTTCGGTGGGTTGTACTTGTCGTACGTACTATTCAATGTTGGATGACTAATATATATATAGTATATATACAATATACAATTTACTCCTTATTTTTTAATGAGAAATGTTATAATAAATACTCGTAATAAGGACAGTTTGTTGGGACATCCTATATAAGTAAGAAAGATGACTTTTTTTAGGGATTAAGAAAATATCATGTTTATCCAAAATATATTAGAATTGATAATTTTACAAATTGAAACAGATTTCGATTATCTGAATCATATTTAATGGGTATTTTATTATCTTTTAATATGGTATATGTAATTATGTATATATAAATGGATTTGCACTAGAGCTGTCAATGCACGCTGGCGGGGCGGGGCCCGCCAAAGCCCGTCTCTTTTTTTTTTTTTTTTTTTTTTTTTTTTTTTTTTAAATTATGTGTGAAGTGTCCCTAAACTCTAAACTCTAATGTGACTATGTTAATAACTTAATTGTTATCTACTTAAAATACTTATTCATAAGAAAATAACATAAATTTGTTCATCACAACATGACAACAATGACACCAATAAAGGTAAGTATAATTACCGAAAAACCGATAACTAATAACCAAACCGACGGATAATTTCGATTAACGGTTGGTTATAAGGCAAAAAAAAAAAAAATCAGTTATTCAACTATTTGGTTATGAAGGTGTAATAATCGCGGTCACTGAATAACCGATACTATTATATATCTATATCTATATATATACACACAGAGTAACTAATATATAATATATATATATATATATATATATATATATATATATATATATATATATATATATATATAACTATAATAATAAAACAATAAAAATAAAATAAAAAAGCGGTCTGGTGAGCTAGCCCGCCAGCCCGCGGGCAAAAAAGTCCGTTTTGAAAACGGGCTTCAAAAACATAAGCCCACTCCGCCTTTTTGGCAGGCGGGGCGGGAAAGCCTTTCGGGGCCAATTTGTGAAAGTCGATGACCAATTTGTGAATTTTGCTATAGTCGAGGTACCATTTTGGGTATTTACTCTTTCTCCAAAGTGGTTTTCCAACTTTTTAATTTTAAGTTAAAATGGTTATCCGTTAGCTTTGACGGTTAAGTTGGTGTTAAAATGAATGGCGAAACTGGAAATTTAGATTTTACACTCCAATTTAAAGTAATCTGTGATTCCTTTTAGCAATCTGTGCACATATTTCTTCAAATTAGGTTTTTGTTCTCTTAAATCTGCAATCAAAATGTGGGATAATCAACTAGAAGGTCAAAAAAGTTCATCTTCAACTTCATCCACATACTTACCAAGGCAAAGATTCCTGGTCTTCTAGTTGGTTATCCCACATTTTAATTGTAGATGTATGAGTACAAAAAATCTAATTTGAAGGAATATGTGCGCAGATTGTTAAAAGGAATCACATATTGCTTTAAATTGGAGTGCAGAACCTAAATTTTCAGTTTTATCCTTCATTTTAACACCAACTTAATGTCAAAGCTAACGAAGGACCATTTTAACTTATAATTCAAACGTTAAAGGACCACTTTAAAGATATTAAAAAGTCAATGAATCAATTTAAAAAAATGTCATAGTTGAATAACCATTTTGAGAATTCACACATATATGTAAAATTGTAACTTAAGAACAGCTGCAATTTTGTTTTATATATAAAGAGGCTTGTTGATCTTATCATCTCCGTACAGTACTAAAACACAGCCTCGTACGGGGTATCTTTTAAGACAGAAATTGATGATGAATTAAATACAGTTAGGCAGAAAATATTAATCTTGAATTATAATAATAATATTATTATTATTGATTAAAAAGTTTGCCGTAATTCAGGAAACGGTCCAAACGGACGATGACGATTGTTGTCCGTTAAAGCAAGTTTGGTCTTTGGATTAGTTGAGTATTATGACTATCTTTATTTGGGGAAAGATACTCTGCAACACCCTTTTGTAAAGTGGGTGTAATAAAGAATAAAATTATATGCTTTTATTTATATTATTATAATATTAAATAGGAAAATGATAACGTTTTGCTAGCTTTTAATTTTAAAGCAATCAAATCAAATGTGAGTAATCTCAGTGTGTTAGTCTTAATATATCATGGCTAGCTAAGCAAACATGGTGAAATCCAACCCAACGCAATCTTAATGTATTTTGGTTGAAAAATTCAATGAGATCTTACCGGACACAAACATAATTAGTCTCAGTATGTGAGATTAGTTTGGTTTTTAATTTTAAAACAACCATATAACATAGGCAAATCTCTGTATATGGATTCTATTATAATTATGACTGACTGAGTTGATGGGGATTATTCCTCGAGCACCGTGCCTATACGGTGGTTGATAACGGATCCTTGGGGCATGCCGTGCCTATACGGCGATCGACTGACCTAGAGGGCATGCCTTCTCGACCTTCTATGCTCACCCGGCTTGACTATTGGTGCCTCGCAGCGTGATGCAGTGTGCTCAGGAGTATCAGGGCACGTGGCCAAGGTCCCTTGGGCCTCAGCCTGTACCCGTGCATGGTCTCCACGTGCCGCTTGCCCAGGACCTGTCCCTTCGTGTTCCCTATAAATACCGCATTTATTATTGTAAGGAGAGACTTTTGGATGTTTCTACACACTAGCTATAGCTATTAGCTCGGATACCTCTGACCCACCTTCACGTATACTTCGGGCTCTTCTTATTAAACAAACAAGTAGACTAGGCTAGGGATCTGAACTCGGAATCAACCTGTGACCATACTTTGTAGAGAATACTCGTCGTATATACTACATCATGAGTAAACATGGTTAGATCAGCTCGAGTAGTCATAATATACCTTGACGGAAAAAACTTGATCAGATTTTTCCCAACACAAACATAATTAATCTTGGTACGTAGACCGGTTACTTAATAATTGGCAACATGACCCATGCCAAAATAGTTTTGAACTCAAAATTGAAATCTTGTTTATAAAAAAATATATTAACAAGCAAACAAGATTACAAAGAATCTAATCTTTATGGATTATGTTTCGGAAAAAGCCAAATCATTGCATAAGAATGATAAGATGTCGTCTAATCGTTTTAAAGAAAGCTTACTAATCAAATTTTGACAAGATTTATCCTGTTTAAAGGTGCGAAAAGACAAATCTCTGCAGCATCTAAAGTGTTGCCGCCATGATATGTTTTATAAGACTCACAAACGAGGATGAAAAAGCAAATCAGATGAATTTGAAACCTAATTCAAATGAATTATGTGTGCACTGTGCTAGTAACCTAGAACTTTAACAAGGTATTATACATATGCCATGTGTATTTCTCATTACACCAACTATTTTGACTTGAAATTAAATACCCAATTGCAAACCTTGTACTAAAATGATTTCTTTAACAATATATGAAATTGTGTACTAACATGTTTTTTCAATACAACGAAATAAAGAAAATATAAAACACGACATTTACTTAGGGCATTCACAACTCTTCTCCCCTTATCTTTTCAATTTGTAGTCCCAGCTCATACACATCATCATATAATATTTTCTCATTTTTTTCTACTATTTTTTTTTTTCCAGTTTCTCCCTTTTTGTGGATCCTACTCTTTCAAACTCATACACATCATCTATTATTTTATCCACCTTATATAATTAATAATTTCAACATTATAATTATATATAATTCTTATTTTAAATAAAATAAATTAATTTTTGAATTATGAAAAGTAAATATATTTTCATAAATTAAAATTCGCGTTTGAAATCGTCTACCGAACAAATTAATATCCAAAAGCGAATACAATATTTTAAATACTAAGTATATACCAACAGTTTATACAATTAACATTTTTAAAAATAAATTGAAATTGAAATTTTATAATAAAAAAAATATTGACCACATCAACGAAAACAGCAGCTATATAATTGGCTGCTTGCACTCTGTAAAATGTAGATTTGTAGACTATTTATCAACATAAATTTTTAATTGAGACATAACGCATTATTTAATTGATATCATGATCAAATCACTATATACAAGTAATATTTGAAGTACACCAAAAAAAAAAAAAAAAAAAAAAA